CCAAACAATTATTAGACTATAATCAGGGTAATGAACACAATGATATACTAATGATATACCAACACAAAGTAGACGAAGCTGTAGTTGTATTATGTGGTGGTACTGATGTGGCGGGAGGAGTAGGGGTGTAAACTAGGGTCTGTGATGAATGACTTCATGACCTGCTAGAATGAGTCCACCACAATATTGGTTGTGGTGGACAGCAACAGGGTAGTCCTCACATCTAGAGTAGCGCGGCCGCCTCGACCGATAAGGACCTTCTTCCTCAGGTACAAACCAATGCCACGTTTCCCATGAGGAGGGAGACCGTCTCTGCCTCCAAAAGCTATTTTTAATAAGAAAAGAAAAATTAATTAGTGCACATAATTTAAAAAAAAAGCATGATTATAATATAAAGTGCAATATACAAACTACTGAAAGTAAAAACACAAAATAATGTAGTAAATAGAAGACAAAATTAGTGCAATCTACAAACTACTAAAACTGAAAACACAAAATTATGTGTTAAATAAAAGGCGAAACTGCAAAGTGCAATCTACACAACTGAAAAACACAAAACCACGCAGTTAACAGAAGAAAAAAAATGTAAAGTGTAATATATAAACTACTAAAACTAAAAACACAAAACCATGCAGTAAGCATAAGACCAAAATGTTGAGTGCAATATAAAAATTACAGAAATTAAAAATACAAAACTAAGAGGTAAATAGAAGACAAATTTGTAAAGTGTAATCTAATAATTATCTTAACTGGAATATTAGTATAAACATAATATGCAGATGCACACAAAATGTAGGGTAATCTACAGAACATGGGAACTGAAAAACACATAACTACATAGTAAGCAAAAGATAAAATTGAGCTTATAGTATTTTGAGTAACTTACACTTTTAGTCAGATGTAGTTAAAATTTCTTTTTTTTCAAAACATCATTAAAGTCATACTCATCATTGAGAGAAATTTTTTCGTGTTTATAACTAGAATCCTCAAAATTTAGCTCTTAACAGATATGATCGAGTGGAATGCATAAGTCTGTCATTTTTATTTCTTAATGAGTGAGTTCAATATTATACTGAATGTCATTACAACCCTGTCAACTTTATCTCTTGCTTTATAGGAACATCGAAAATAATATAGCTGACTCGTTTGTCTTGCTAGAATGAAAGGATCAAATTTAGCATATCTTTTTTTCACCTTAACTTCTACAATATTATACAGTTGTGTTACCCTTGTTCCACAATTAGGTACAAGATCAAACCAGTCATAGTTGAACATGGATACACTTCTTCACATGGAGCTAGGATATGCTGGAGTTAGGATATGCTAATTCAATAACTTCTTTGAGAATCTCATAATAATCTATCTTCATCTAATTTATTATTTGCTTTAACACAAATACTTGAAATACAAGTCTTTTTCTTCTGATCAGTATTTTATATGAAATATGTAGCCATTCACATTGTAGATTTATCAAAATTTCATGATGTGCATGGGTCTCTGATACGCCTAAAATATGTAGTCTTTATGTACACATTTTTATACCTATTTTTGAGATATTGCACTTTAATGGAAGGGATTTGTGTGTTTTTATTTCAGGTACAATCAAATGGATGAAAAATGGTGAAAAACGTGAAAAATAATCAAGTTTGGAGCAAAAATGAAGAAGGTGTACAAATGAACTGTGGCGCCTAAGCGCCAAGTATCTCTCGCTTAAAAGCTAGAAGTAGTTATTTGATGATTCAATGAATTTGGACAAATTTTTGAAGAGGTGTTTAAAGCAACCCTTGGTGAAAACATATTAATGGACACGAAAATACATTCAATTGACTTTTGAAAGTAGGCAACTCTTGGAATATTCATTGAATGCGGACACATTTTGAAGAGACACCAATGCACCTTTTGGAAAATTATAAAAGGACTTGGATTGGATTGAAGAGACTTCTTCCAGCCTTCCTCCCAGTGTACGAGAGAGACTCCTACATGACCCCATAGTCACACCATCGATGCCTCTCCCATAGATTAATTAAGATATTTTATTGCAGAGAAGAGAGGAGTTATAGTATGTGAGTAGAGAGTTATTGTAAGAGGAAGAGAAGAGATTCAAAGGAACATCAAGAATTTGTTGGAGAGGATTTGAGATAAGTTTTTATCTTTGTGACTACATTTGGTTTTAATTTAAACTTTTTATTTGTTTGCATGATTTCTACTTTCAAACTTAAGTGTAATTGTGTTTTCTCCATGAATTCTGAGTAGTTTTCTTTATCTTTTTCCTTAAAATGATAATCGATTAAGTAATTTTTAATGTTTGAATAAGTTGTGATGATTTTAAACATTGTACTTCATTTACTTCTTCATTTAGCCAATTAAGATGTTAATATTTGTTGTAAGAACATATAAGATCCGTGACGGTATTGTCTCAGTCAACTAATGGTAAAAATCACATGAGATAGTATGGATGAGAATATAATTCATATTATTAAGTGTAAATAAATAAGGAAATAAATTTTGAAGGGTGTAAAATTAGAGGACTGTAGGGTGACAGACGTTGCTTAGGATCAAGTTTTTGACACCGTTGCAAAGTAAAAATTATAAGTAAGAAAAAATTAAGAATATTACCGCATACATCATATTATCATATAAAATCAGGATCAATCCCCAAGCAAGATCTATCAAACTCTGAACAATTACTCTTTTATTTTGATCATGAACCTATGAATTCATAAAAAAATCTTGTGTCATTCAAATCATTTAAGGATATCATGTGTAGTGAAATTGACATATTCTATTTTATTTGTATTGTAAAACATTATAGGAAATCATTCTCTATTTATGACTTTTGATATCTTCTTCATGTGAATTTAACAAATCTATAAATAAGTTGTTCACACAATCAGTAATCCTTGGAATGTCCCTAAAAATCTGGAGTAAATCATTCTCAATTACTTTGGGAGGTGACACTGATTTCATAACTTGTTTCTCATTAATGCATTTATATTTAGTAGACTAGTGTATCCTCTTTCATCTTCAGCATCTGAGTCATCCCTAGAAGATCCCTTTAAGCTGGTATTCAATGCAAAAAATTCATGCAAGTTAGCAAACTTTGGGTTGATCAGGCCCGACAAAATGAATTGATCTAACACTATGATGCTCCCATCCCAAAGCTACTCACTCATAACTTTTTCCTATTGCAGAGGGGAGGGAGCACCTCAAGCAACTCCTCCTCGGTCTTTATCATCACCATATATCCCTTCAAATTTTGGTTCTCTTGCTTAGAGATCGAAAAAATATCTGAGAGGGTGGCAATCTCCTCCTCCGCCGCTGTCAGTTTCCTTTGGGCTATCATAGATTGCTACTCAAAATTCTTACTAAGCTCGGCCAAGGCCTCAACCCTTTTTGAGGTGACAGTCCACTTCATCTTAACTTAGTCCAGCACCATCGACTGGAAGTGGAAATCCTCACACACCTTCAAGTGGTAGCGCTCAGTCTTCTTGTAAGGTTTGGGTCTCTCAAGAACCCAAAGAGACTTAGCAAATTCACATGACTAAATCACTTCCACAAAAGTGGATGGTAGAATTTGACCAATGGTGAACCGATGTACCAGTCCACCTCTCGGTCGATGGTTGATGGTTGTGTATCAACCATCAAAAGAATTCA